TAAATAATATAGCCTTTTTTCTCTGAATAAAGTACCTATTATTTGTTTTATTAAAAGCAATTTTTTAAATGAACCTATTTTTCTCTCCAAATAACTTACCTATTTTTTTCCTCTAATAATGTACCTATTTTTCCTCTCCAAATAATGTACCTATACACATTTACAGGTATATTGTAAAATAACCTACCTGTGGGTAAATAATGTACCTATATTTTATATAAATTATTGTGTACCTATTTTTAATTATGAAAAATATACGCAATTACAAAGTAACTGTTTTTTTTTTTTTTTTGGTAAATAATATACCTATATTTTGTATGTATATATTTATATTATATTTTTCATAGGTACATTATTGGATATGTAATTTACAGATTTTTTTTTTGTTTGCAATTTTAGGGGGCGAGATGTGAGAGGGAATGACAACTAAAAGAAATGGGGTGATTGATATGCTATTAATAGGGAGTATATTAATTACAATTATGGCAGTTAATGAAATGCTTGAAATAAAATTATAAATAAAATATGAAGTTTAGTGGCAACGATGTAAAAACATAGAAATACTACGACCTCTTATATCCTACTGGTCATTTAAATTTGAAATTGGGTTTTACACATAGATTTATAGAGTGATGGGTATATGTCTAGGAAATAGAAAATGTAGGGATCTATATTGGATAAGCCCTTTTTTTTTGTTAGAGAAAATGTTTTATTCAAAATCACAGTAGATGATACAACAAGCAAATAACATAAACCTGTACCTGTACGCAAACAAAATAATCTCCACAAGGGGAATAAAAAATGGAGACAAAAACAAAGTAATTACTGAAACACAAAAATAGCACACACCATATTTACATTGAAAGATATTGAACTCCAAGTAGTAACCCTGCGTGGCCTTCGACAGTAGGACTGAGAAGCAATGTATAAATTAACTCTGCCCATATGGGAGAGACTAGGGAGAATAATGCGGTGGTGTATTACTTACAGAGATAAACTAAAGACCAAGATATATATTTTCAGAAAAACAGAATAAACTGTAAACGAGTAAATTGGTGATGATCGATGTGTTGGTCCTTCAATTTTTTGTATTTTATATCAGTTTTAAATATAACGGGTTGTCTTGGTTGATGCATTTTCTGGATTTTGGCGATTTACCACATCTCATGAAGCAATATGTTTTCGTGAACTGTGAGGCCAGCTTATTTTACCAAGGTTTTGCAATTTACAAATAGGCTTAACTGGTGATTTGCCTTATGAACTTGTACCAAAGTTTTGTTTTAACCCATTTCCTTTTTTTAGAAAATTAAGGACCCAAACTAATTTTTTTCGCCAATTTATCCCCCGACGTCAAAATCTGCCACTTTTGATCCATTATGCCGTCAAGTTGGTGTTTTGGTGAAGACGCAAAATGACAAAAATAACCTCCAACTGAGGATACATTGGGAACACGTGTACACGTGTCTAGCAAGTATCGTGAGAGTTGCTTTAGAACAAATGTGAATATCATTCCTCGATAAGATAATTTTGGGAATATTAGTTGGTGCATTTAGTAAAATGTATTTTTAGAGAAATGCTCTTATTTAAAAATACACAAAAGTTATTTTAGAAGCTCTTTATAAAATTTGAACTCAAATAATATTTTCTAGTTTTGGGAACTATAGTTATTTTTTAAATCAATATGATTGTTGGTCCATCTCTATAAAAAAAATATATATAAAAAAAACTAGTTAGCATTAATTAAAAGTTATACTATGCATAAAACAAAGCAGTATTAATTATAGGAAGTCATCATGAATCATTTCTCTCTCCTCAGAATTAGGAGCTCCTAGAACTCTCCATATTTTAGGAGGTGTATAGAGAGCATGATTGGAGTTGTATTTTTCTAATTCCTCCTTAAAATTTATCGAAAGAGGTGATTTAAAGAGCCCATTATAAATCCTCTGAGTTTAACATTTTTGCCAAATCCAACAATTAAATGTGCTCAGTTGATGACGTCCCCATAAGTTTTTGTTGGGTTTAGGAAAAGATGGTGCTGGTGGAGTGAGCATTTCGAGAGGATTGATTGTTTTTGGAGATGTTTAGTTCATATGAATTAAAAATGTGTACCCTTTTATCCTGTTATTAAGAAAAGTCTATTTTCGTTGGATTTTGTTATAACGTGCTTGTTGGATAACGTGCTTGTTGGATTTTGTTATCAAGAAAAGTCTATTTTCGTTGGATTTCGTTGGATTTTGTTGCTATATAAATTATAACATATCTTCAAATGTGTCTAACGTGCTTGTTGGATTGCCTTCTGGCTCTAGTATACTTTGTGATGTCAAAGTTTGCCCTCCATTATTTTTGGCTGATGGAGAGGTTTATTAATTTAAATTAGGTTTAAAGTCATCAGTCACCTTAATTTAATTGTTCATTTTTCAGTGCTTACATCATATGGATCAAGAAGTCTAAGGTTTTCTATTATACAACTTCATGTCTCTGTATATGTGTAGACATTAAAATTTTGGTGATTAATAATTCCAAGTTTGATTTTTTGAATAATCGAAGGTTATTCGTCCAAGTTGTCGGTTTCATATAAAGTACCCGTGGCACTTGACTCATTAAGATAAAGCTAGGCACCAATGATGACGCATATGTCAGCATCTATGAGTTCTATAAACAAATCAAATCATATGTTAAAATTGACCAAAAAAAAATCATATGTTAAAAGGAATAAATTATTCTTAATTTGTCATTTTCCTAAATCATGAGCTAATTTCCTCAAATTAAAAATTTTGATTTGTTTAAGAGCTAAATTAAATCAATTGACTCAAATTAAATTAAATCATAAATAAATTCAACAAATCAAGGGATTCAGATTGGTGATTCCAAACCATGACTCAATACCTTACCTACAAACATTTCGAAAAATTAGAAAGCTCCCTAGCCCAATAATTCATCAATCTCATAGAGAATCACCAAGCACTACAATACGTTTCTTTCACAGCTAAAGCCAAAGAGTATCTACCACATGACACCACTCGTTATCTTGACCTACTTGAGATCAAGCCGTGACAGCCCTTAATACCAAATCTCAAGTTCCTATTCAAGATAAAATGCTTACCACCCTTGAAATCATATGGGAGATCAAATCAAAGGATTTTTCTTTTGTAAAGAATATCCATAGAGATTGTAACCCTAAATTCATTCAATACAAATATTATTTTGTACACAAGTTCTTGTCTCATTTGTCACATGACATTTGTGTTTACAATATGCTTTTCAAATCAAATTGTTCAATCAAGTTTTCCTTTTTTCTTAATCATTTTGTATTTTCTTTTGCGTTATGTAGGGTCTTCCTGGTGAGCTTTGATGATGCTACACTAACTGAGGCTTTAGAGTTGCACATAGAAGGGGAAGGTCTATTTGAGGGCTTAGACTGGTATGCATTACTAATCAGCATGGGATCACACTCTCAATACGCCTCCTCATGTGTGACTTCATTTAATTTTAAAATGTGGACAACATGATAGGTTTAGGATTCTTAGAATTGGCTTTCCTTGTCAAATGTACACTTTCATGTAATTCCTCTTAACTTAATTTAAATAGTGTAATATGTACTATGAATTAATAATTTTTTTTAAAACACATGTTATGAATTAAATTAGTTTTTTAATTGTTGTCTAAAACTTTGTAACAAAAAGATTTGAAAGACTTAGAAAAAAGGAAAAAAGAAAAAAAAAAGACCTGGCCTGACTTTCCTAGCTGCAAGAAAGCATAACTGGGCCTAAATTATTCCAAAAACAATTTGTAGAAGAGTGTTGTTAAACAAACCTTAAAATTAAACGCGTACACCCTACTACCAAAGTATTTATTAAATTACTAATTTATTCTAATATAAAATGACCAAAAAGGATATATTGAATTGTGAAACAAATATAATTTTAATAAGTACACTGTACTCACCATATTCAACCCTAATTAAATGTGGAGAAGTTTTCGTATTGCTTGGTGCCCATGGCGAACAATGCATCGAGCATTGGCGGAGGCGCAAAAGTTCACAGCAATACAAGCAACAGTGTAGGCATTTTCATTAAAGCACTTGTCAATTTTGTTTCTGTTTCTAGCTTAAACATCAAGGGCATCAATTAAACACTTATCCATTGCAATTGACCAAACAACGTTCTTTCCTTTGTGCTTCAAATCCCCTCTCTATCTATAGAGGTCATAATCATCCATTACCCAGAAAAAAGAAAGGAACCTATAAAACTTTCATAAGATGATGAACATATTTGGAGGGCGACAAGTTCAATCCAAAATAAGAAATAAATAAAGAAAATCATAAGAATTTACAAGAATTAAGCTTTGAATTGAAGGAGGTAGCAAATCTACTCCCACAACAACTTACGAAATTAAAGATTTTGATGCAAACCCAAAGTTTGAAAAGAGGGCATGAATTCATGTAAAAAGAGAAACCTGATTTAGGATTGGTATTAGGGTGTTGTGTGATAGAGTGTATTAGAGTGTACCATGGGTATTTTTGGTAGTTAAATATGATGTACTTAGTTAATTTTACATTTTATTAAAATATTAGGGTGTACTTAGATTATAAGGTATATACTAAGTTAATTTTAAGGTTCGTTTAACAACACTCTTTATATAAATATGTTTCAATGTTGCGATAGCAGAGCAGCATGCTATTATATTCTCGAGCAATTTCATAATGCTTAATTATTGTGAAAACAATTAATCCCTGTTATTACCAAAAATATATAATAAAAAAATGCCTGCGTAGTGTTGGAAATACAGTGGCTTCATAAGACTACGACTAGGGGCATTTCGATCAAGTTATTAATCAATTGATACATCATACGGGAAAATTTATTAAACATGAAATAAAGAGGTACACCAAGTCATGGCGGAAAATTATTAAACATGAAATAAAGAGGTACACCAAGCCATGGCTGATAGAAAGAGCCTAAGCCCAATCCCACTTGAGTCAGAACTCATGGGTTTATCAACTAAGTATCAAAAGCAAAGGATAATGCAGACTCAAGCAACTCCAAGATTTTGGGTTGGAATGTTGACTTATGAAGAGCCTCCTCTGAAGCTAATCTTTCTTGCAGAATTTTAGAGCCCACGTACCTGCCCAAAGTACAAAATTGAAATTGATAAAAAAGAGAAGAACGTAGAATTAATATTACAAAACAAGACATTCAAGCCAAATATATAATTGACAAGTTTTAGTGGTTGCAAGTTAAGTGTGTATAACATACCTCCCTAACATCAGATAGAAGCCCTGTGGATGGCTCGCTGGTGTGGAAGGGAATGTGGAGCCATCAACAACACGTAATGCGTTGATCCCTGTAACACGGAAATCATCATCAAGCACCTCCCCGACAAGGCATCCACCGTGGTAATGCCAATATGACGCTACTGCCTCTTGGCAAAATGTTTCGAAGGCTGCATCATCTGTCTGGTTCTCTGGCAAAGGTATTCCCAAAATATCAAAACCATCTATGCCCGGCAAATCTTCCACTTTATATGGTTTTAATGCGTCTGAGCTCAAGAATTCACCAATCTTCTTCATGCCGCTAACACAATGAGCAAGGTCCGTTGAATTCGAATAGTAGTTGAATGTGACATTTGGAGCGACTCGCACATCAGAGGTTGATTGCAACGTGACAGTACCATGAGATAATGGTCCCGGAACTTTGTTAACAATGTGAGCGAAAGTCGTATTTGGCAGGGGATAAGTTGGATTAGGAAAAAAACTAAAGGGTGCAATAGAAAATGGCAAGCTTGATAGAGAACATTGGTAGAAGTCGCTTGTAATGCCTAGAACGGTCACAGTTGAGGGTTCTATTGGATTCGGGGGCAAAATGTTAATGAAATTACGAGGATTGTCATATATATACTGCCCGACATATGGATGGGAAGCAACAACTGAAATGTTGAGAGATGTTAGGTAAGACTCTGGGCCAACACCACTAAGTAGTAGAAGTTGAGGGGACCCAATTGGCCCCTGCACTCAATATAACTTCTCCCTCACCACGTACAAATGCCTGATGAGTCGTTCCGTTCGAATCAGTATATATAACTCCTATAGCTGTCACACCTGTATTAGATATATAAGAGCATATCATTATTATCAAACAACTCGGAAGAAAATAGGAGACATTATTTGCACATTCAGTATTTGATATGACTATCCTGCTGGTAATGTTTCAAAATAATAAAACGTTAACTTTGGAAGCATACCTGATGAATTGGAAGAGAAGATGATCTTCTCTACTGCGGCATGAACTGCAACTCGCAGGTTGTTTGGGTCTCCTTTATTAAGCAGTTCATCAGATGCATGTCTGGTTCCGTTATTGTCGAAAGTTGAGCCGGTGAGTCTAGTTCCTTCAATGTGATCCAAACTAAATCCATTGTCTGGAAGAATACCAATCTCCAAGAATGCAGTTCCTGTAAGATTTTGCCAAAATTGGAAATCGGGCTTGAACACAATAGTGTCTTCAACCCAGTCATATGTCTTATTAACCAGATCCATGTCCCATTCAATCCCTGTTTGATTAAAGAACGAGGTGTTAGCTCTTACGTAGACCCCGGCATTGATCATGCTCGTGCCACCGAGGACCCTCCCTCTTACATTGTCAATACCATCTCCAGACACGAACCTTTCGACTGGTGTCTGTCCATCATCTTCTTGCTGCAGATTATATATAAACCCATCTGAAGTCAACAGGTTTGGATATTCTGTAGGAAGAGTGCCCCTTTCCAGAACAAGCACCGAGTAGTTTGCTGACAAAGTTGCTGCCAATGGACACCCTGCTGTTCCTCCACCAACAATAATGTAGTCGTATGTTCCTTCCAACTCTGTGTCATTGGCATCGTAAACAAATTCCAAGTAGCTAAAATCTGCAAAATGCGAAGAGAGGAAGAGTTGTTAAACCTTTAGCACACGCATCTACGTAAGGGTTTCTGTTCTATTTGCCCTTTTTGTTTTCTTTTATGAATCACGAAAAAAGTAGTTTACCATGAGCAGAGGTGTTGGCAAGCGAATGAACCTCTGAATATTGAAGATGAAGAACAAAAAGGTGCAGCACCAATACTAGTATAGCTGACATTGTTGATTTCACCATGATTCTGAATATTATCAAAACACTTTCACACTTTCATCAAGGCTCTCCCTTCTATGGAATTTATAGAGGTAAGGTAAGACTTAGTGAGTATAGTTAAAAAAATAATGGTTTCAACAAGCACATGTTTAAATGATGATAAAATAATGATCAATTATGGAGGCAATCAAGAAAAGTATAGGTCTGATATATGATAAACAAGACGTACCTATAGGTTTTTTTTTTTTTGGTCTTGAAATCAAATCTCGCGATCTTATCCTGGCTGCAAGTGATTGAGTTCAGTAGTTCCTCATATAAAATTATTGACTCTAGAAAGGCCATTAAGGCCACAATTGCAGAATTTATACTTTCAAAAATGAAAGAATGGAAAAGAATGATAAATAAATAAAGGAATTATTGATTGAATTAGGAATCAAATTTTGAGTTCGGTATAGATAAAAGATCTTCCTATGTTATACTATTCAATTCTTGACGATGAGCCAATTTGATAGCTCAGATATTACCACTCGATGATATTAACAGCATTAATTCAATAAGCGAATTTTATTTTTATTTTTTTTGTACAGAAAACTAAAACATTCCAATCTAAAACATTTTCATCTTCACATTCCCACAAATTGAAGTATATGGCCCCCATCCAACAAATTAGTACATGAAAAACTGAAAATTATTTAGCTTTAATATGTAAGAGTTTTGAATATGTATGTAATTTTCAAACTAATATTTATATTTCGGCACCTCAATTTTATAATTCTACCTCCAACCTACTAGAAATTCACAATCCGGTAAATGTCAAAGCTGTGAGAGCAGTTAACACACAGCGATGATGAGGATAAGAACGAGCAATGAGTCGTGGAAGAATATATTCCCAACGGATAGAATTCTTATTCTTTCATTTTCTTATCACATGGGTTGAATATAAATATTGAAAATTTGTCTCATTGTATGTAAAGCGAGCCATTCATATCAAATATTATAAGGCTTGAAAGTTTGAATACAAATCTCTCTTGTTCTCTGCAAGATACGTTTCATACAACCAAACGATCTTGAGGTTAATTACATTCTTAGAAGTTTTTTTAAAAAAATACTAGCGATAATCTAAATTACTCTAAATTAATCTAATTTACAGAGAGGAAATTCAAACTTAAGTGCAAGAGGGGTGTAACCCACATTTTCCATTGTTAGAAGTATCTTAAATTACCCTCAATAGCAACAAAAAATAAAATAAAGAAAAAACAACTTTATTTTGAATTCAAATCATTCTTTACATTTTGAGCTAAATCTCCAAGATGTCATAATAATTCACATGTTTCATGCGTATTACATGGTACACCAACCATGTGATCCCAAACATACAAAATTACTCGTGAGTGAGATGCTTGAGTTGAGGTTACGTTTTTGGGACTACTCTGAATAAAAACAATACTAGAGACAGACAACTTCTTTTTGAAAGGACACAAGAGTACAAATGAAAACAATATTGCTTCCACATATGTTTCGTGTTTTGGAGGTCTGTTTTCATACGTGTCATGGGGTATGAACACGTTTTTTTGGGCTAAAAAAAAAACGAATTTATAAGGTCACAAATAAATTCATAACCAAGAAACAAATCGACCACTTAATCTTATTTTATGGTAGAAGATATGGCTTAGGGTTGTTCCTGTGATTTTGAGGACCCTGTGCGAAACTTAATTTGGGGCATCACATAATCTAATACAAAAATACTATAAAATAAAATAAAAAATTGTCATTCCTTATTGCCATAAAACAACATTTTCATCAATATCAATATTTTCATTGTCATCATTCTCATTATGCTCAACATTATCCACACATTTATCCATATTGTTTTCATTATCTTGCAATTCCTCAACAATGAATCTATCTAGCATGTGATTCTTTAACAATGAATCTATCTAGAGCTCCTCTTTGAGATTGAGTCAATTCCTCCATTTTTCTTTTTCTAAGTCGTTTTTTATATCTAGAAATGTATTTTCTAGTAGGTGGCATGTTTAGATTACAAAGAAAAATTCCAAAACCCTATAACCTAAAAGATAACCCCAACAAGAAATTGATAAATATTTCTAAAAACTATATAACCAATCATCAACATGATAATAATTTAATAAAATAATTCATGTAATATATAGATTGAAATCTCTTTAAATCCTTTGACAATTTTTGTTATTCACCAAAGAAATTGATGAATGATGATGAGTACTTACTAGAAAATCAGAGTTTAAGAGAAAGAAGAAGTGATGAAGTTTTTTGTGTGGAAGAAAGTACTTTAATACTAGAACAAAGAGATTGATACATAGTTAATTTTGTTCTTGATATCATTAAAAAAAAAAAAAAAAAAAAAAAAAAAAAAAAAAAAAATAGATGCATGCATTTCACTGAAATTCAAACTCAAGCCTTCTATTAAGGGATATGTGCTGGAGAACCAACTCCCCCACACATACTTTTGTGCCAACATGTAGCACGCTAAAGTATATATCATATCAATATATATATATATAATATAAAGAATTTTTTTACAGAGGCTCCAAAAATTGAGGGTCCTGTGTGGTGGCGGCCACTTGCACCATCTTAGGGCCGCCCTTGATGGCTTAGTCAAGTTTATTAGAGCGGATGTGCTCTCCATTTTGTACCTAAGTTCGAATCCCCTTACTTGTAGTATGTAAAACTCAAATGTACATACTCTTTGACACGTTGTGTACATTCATATACCAAATTTTTGTTGTTGTTGGAGAAAATGTTTTATTCCAAACGAAATAAACATTAAGATAAATACATATGAGATTCGTCCATAAGTCAAATGTGAATATCAAGAAACAATAGCGCAATGTTAGTTAAAAGACGCCTTCCTTGAATCCAGTCAGGTGGAACAAATAAACAAAACAAGATCAAAAGAAGAAAAGCATCAAAATCTGCACACACCAACCGTCAACCTACATCTAACTATGTCGCATGCTAATTAAATTGCCTCAATTAAACCCTGGAAACAAAACAAGCGTCTAAAATAATCTGACTGTAAAAACTTTGTCAGAAACAACTGCCAAATGCACGGTAGATGATAAAACAAGCAAATAACATAAACCTGTACCTGACCTCAAACAAAATAATCTCCACAAAGGGAATAAAAAATGATAAATAAGAAAACATATTTACATTGAAAAATATAAAACTTCAAGTAGTAACCCTGCGTGGCCTTCGACAGTAGGACTGTGAAGCAATTTATGGATTTTGGCGATTTACCACATCTCAAGAAGCAATATGCTTTCGTGAACTGTGAGACTAGCTTATTGTACCAAGGTTTGGCAATTTACAAATATTACTGAGGACATTAAAAAATTTCTCTAAATGACAAACTTTTACCTCAAAGATTAAATTACACATACACCTATGAGATTTTTCTTTTTTTTGGTTTAACAAAAGTTACTGGCTTCCTATGTGGGCTAGTTATCTTGTACTTTTGTGAATCGTAGATGCAATGCAGCTGCTCATCTAGTAGTAGCACATGTATCTCGTTTGGATGGGAAGTTTAAATGGGATCAACTTTGGCTTGAGTGGGTGTTTGACACTCTTGATGCTGATGTAAACATTCCAATTCGGTTATAATAAATTTCTTCCATGATTTGACCAAACAAAAAAAAAAAAAAAAAAAAAAAATCACAAATACATAAGAAATTACAACCAAAAAAGGAATAAATTATCCTTAATTGGTCATTTTTCCTAAATCATGAGTTAATTTCCTAAAATCAAAGATTTTGAATTTGATTAAGAGCTAATTAAATCAATTTACTGAAATTAATTAAATCATAATTAAATCTCACAAATCAAGGGATTTAGATTGGTGATTCCAAACCAAGACCTAATACTTTGCTTACAACACTTTAAAAAACTAGAAAGATCTGTAACCAAATAATTCATCAAGCTCATGGAGAATCATCATGTACAACAAATATGTTTTCCTTCACCACTAAAGTTGAAGAGTATCCACCACATGACACAAGGGGTCTTAGTGTAAAAGTCCAAATAAAACACAGAGGCACCCTAGTGGCGGCAGCAAGGGAGGAGATGGAGTTGAGGGTTTGGGGGAGTTGAGAACTTAGGGTTTGGAGGAGAAAACAAAAAAATTTGGGGGTTTAGAATGGAGGAATCGATGTTGTGAGAGAAGGATACGCTGGGGGGCTTGTTTTTTTTTTTGGTTTTTTTTTTCTTTTCAGACTTGCCCCCACCAAACGATGTCGTTTTGCCCAGGTCATTTAAAAAAAAAATTCCCTGGGCCAAAACGACATCGTTTTGCCCTGGTTGTTTAAAAAAAACAAACAAACAATCCTTCACACAGCCTTCTTCTCTAGTTGCAAAACCCTTCCTTCTTTCAGTCATTTTGTCAACCACTTGGTGTGCAGCTCCAAGAGGTCGCACCAGCAGCTCCAAGGGACCTCTAAGCTTATTTCCATGGCTTCCAAGAGGTCGTGCGACCCCAATGACCCCATTGTGGCTCCGCCACTGACTACTTGTGATCTTGACGTGCTTGAAATCAAGCATGATGGCTCTCAATACCAAATCTCAAATTTCTATACGGGAGATCGAATCAAAGGATTTTTCACGACCCTCAATACCAAATCTCAAATTCCTATATGGAGAGATCGAATCAAAGGATTATTTTTTTTTTTTTTTTTTTTTTTTTTTTTAAAGAATATCCACAAAGATTGTAATCCTAATTCATTCAATATAAATATTATTTTGTACACATGTTCTTGTCTCATTTGT